CTACAGTTTGTGTTATAGTTGCCTACAGTATTCAGTACAATAACATGCTGTACAGGTTGGTAGCCTAGGAGCAACAGGCTATATCATATAGCCTAGGTGAATAGTAGGCTGTACCATCTAGGTTTGTGTGAGTACACCCTTATGGTGATCACACAAAGATGAAATCAGGTAAAGACACATTTCTGAGGACATATCCCTAGCTGGGTGCAGTGGCTCACGCCTGTAATCCCAGCACTTTGGGAGGCTGAGGCAGGTGGATCACCTGAGGTTGGGAGTTTGAGACTAGCCTGGCCAACATGTGAAACCTCATCTCTACAAAAAATAGAAAAATCAGCTGGGTATAGTGGTGCACGCCTGTAATTCCAGCTACTCAGGAGGCTGAGGTGGGAGAATCGCTTGAACCTGGAAAGCAGAGGTGGCAGTGAGCCAAGATCGTGCCACTGCACTCCAGCCTGGACAACAGAGCAAGACTCTGTCTCAAAAAAAAGACATATACCCATCAAATGATGCATAACTGTATATAGTATTCTTTAAGAGGTATTAACATTGGTGACCTATTTGATGATGGAGAGTTTTGAGAGAGTAGGATAATAACTGGATAGTTAAGGAGTTTAGATCGTAATTGAGCATGTGAACCCAGCTCCAAGGCAAAAGAAAAAGAAGATAGTATGTGTTATTTTGTGTTTGAATTTTCTTGACTCTTTGAAATAATCACCCTATTCTGCACTAGGCAGTTATTTTTTTTCTTTGAGACAGTATCTCCCTCTGTCTCCCAAGCTGGAGTGTAGTGGTGCAATCATGGCTCATGGCTCATTGCAGCCTCAACCTCTCAGGCTGAGGCAATTCTCCCACCTTAGCCTCCCAACTCTTTGGGACTACAGGCACGTGCCACTATGCCCTAGCTAACTTTTTTTGTATATTTTTCAGAGGCAGGATTTCAACATGTTGCCTAGTCTGGTCTCGAACTCCTGAGCTCAAGTGATCTGCCTGCTTCAGCATCCCAAAGTAGTCAAATGAATTTTAATACTCATTTATATTTTGATTTTGATTATATTTTTAATTGGCTAGTTTACAGTTCATTTGAAAGACTTTCACAGAAGATAAGGCTGCTAGAAAGAATTTTAACATTTATATTCAGGACATTAGTGAGAATTTATATGTGCCTATAACCTAGGAAATTTCTTAACATTCAGCAATTATTTTAAAACTTCTACATTTAAAGTGAGTATTGAAATGTTGAAGCTTAAGTGTGCAACTTTATTATTTACTTTTTGTCTCCTGTTTCTCTTTTTCTGTTTTCCTGTGGGGAGTACTTGAACATTTTTTAGAATTCCATTCTGATTAGCTATAGTTTTTTAGCATCTCTCTTTGTATATACATATTTTTAGTTGTTGCTGTAGTACACTTACCTGTTGACTCAGCAATCCCAATTCTACAAATGTACCCTGAAAATACACCTCTGTCAATACAAACATATTCACACCCAAGGTTATTCATTGAAGCATTGTTTATACTTGCAAAATATTAGGAACAATATAAATACCAATACAGTAGATGAATAATATAGTATATCCACACAATCAAGCCATAAAAAAATGAAGAATTTCTCTATGAATTTATTTAGAGTGATATCCAAGATACACTGTTTGTGTAAATGTTCTAAATACAATAATTAAAGGATTGCAATTGGCAGAATACATATAAAAGTATAACTATATGCCCTTTATAAGAAATTAACTTCCATTATAAGGATATAGGTAGTTGAAACAATATACCATGCAAACATTAGTTTGAAAAGGAGCATGAGTGATTTTATTAATAACAAATTAAATAGACTTCAGAGCAAAGAAAATTACAATTACAAAGAGGGACACTACATAATAAGATGATCAATACGCCAAGAAAACATAGCAGTTATAAAGTATAGGCACCAAAAAAACAGCTTCAAAATACATGAAACAAAATTATAGAATTGAAAGGAGAAATGGACAAATCTATAATTATAGTTGGGGACTTCAATATCCCTCTCTCAATAATCGATAGAAATACTAGGAAATCAGCAAGGATGTAGAACTAAATACCACCATCAATCAACAGGATTTAATAGACATTTATAGAACACTGTACCCCAAAACAACAGAATACATATTCTTTTCAAGCATCTATGGAACATTCAGCAAGGTAGACCATATCCTGGATCATAAACCTCAAAAAATTTAAAACAATTAAAACTATACAGAGTACATTATTTGACTGTAATAGAATCAAACTGGAAATCAACAATGGAGGTATAATAGGAAAATCTCCAAACACTTGGAAATTAAACAACACACTTCTCTATAATCCACATGTGAAGAGAAAGTCTCAAAACTAAGTGAACTGTTAGAACTGAATAAAAATGAAAATAAATCACAACTTGGGGATGCAGATAAAGCAATCCTGAGAGGAAAATCCATTACACAATATTCTAAGCTCCCACCTCACAAAACAAGGAAAAATAAGAGCAAAATAAACTCAAAGCAAGCATAAGAAAGGCAATAAAGGTAAGAATATGAATCAATGAAGCCGAAAACAAAAAGTAAATCAATGAAACAAAAAGCTGTTTCTTTGAAAAGATCAATAAAATTAACAAGCCTCTTAGCAAGACTAAAACAAAAAGCAGACATGAAGACATGAATTACCAGGAATGAGACCAGGGTTATCAGTGCAGTTACTGCAGCCGTTAAAGTGATAATAAGGGATTGCCTTGAGCAACTTGACATAAACTCAGCAACATAGATGAAATGGAGCAAGTCCTTAAAAACCACAAAAAAACAAAGTTGATGCAATATAAACTAGATCATCTAAATAGTCTTATAACTATGGAAGAAATTTAGTCCTTCATTTAAAAGCTTCCGAAAAAGACATTTCAAGGGCAAGATAGTTTCATTGGACAATTCTACCAGTCATTCAAAGAAGAATCAGCATGGATTTACGCAGTCTCTTCCAGAAAACATAAAGGAGGGAACATTTACCAGCATATTTTGATACCAGTGTTACCCAGACACAAAAACCAGACACACAGAATA